TCGTCCCATATTTACTATGTTCCATGTTTCTTGCGATTCCTCTCATGTTCCTGGAGACGGCACACTCGGTCAATACACCTCCTCGGGTCCCATCAGAGCATGGAAGATATGCCACTTTTTCAAGTAAACATAACTAATTAATTAATGTTTCTGAAAAGACATACAAAACATATATACATTGTTTAAAACAAGATTTAGTAAGGGAGACCACGAAAAGACGAAATGGCTAAACCGTGATTCCCAGATACGTAACAATACATGCGCTGTACGTACAGTACGTTAGTTCACACAAAAGTCCGTATTTTAATCTCAAAGTTATTTTAAACCGTTGTTAGGCACCGTGTCGACGCAATTGTGGTTACGAAACTTTAAATGCGTAGACGTGGGCGTAGATGAGAGTTTATATCTTGGGATGCATTTGTACTGAGAAGAAAATAAATATAAAACAAAATATTTTGGGGGTGCCTTCATTTTCGATAACCCTCTAACGGCAAAAAGACAAAAAAACGTAATCACATGTTTGATGGTGAATTTTTCTCTTAAGTCACGACACGGTTGGTTTAGAGTAGTCTTTCTGTTTGTTTATGGAGGGTGATGGTGCGTGAATAAAGATCAAGTCGTGAGGGAATTTTGATAGTAATCTCCCCCTGTCCAAATCGGAGAGAAAGTGTCAACCATCCCCGGTATTTCCGACCATGGAAAGACATAATAAACTAGCATTCACTCAGCTTCGACTCCCATCTTGGGGTTCAAGGGGGTTGGGAGGGCAGGAAGGCGATCGAATTTTTGTCATGTTCGGCAAACGAGGAAAGTTATAGCGACTTAGCATGAAAGGGTGGTAAGGGGCCACCCCTCCATTCATGAGAAAGAATAAAAGCACATGTACATAATGCTCAATAAGATTTTCCATAATTTAACACCAGATTTTGTCCAGACTAATCTCTTTTACAAAGACACCAATCAGGCCTATGACTTAAGAAATAGAGTGGTGAAGCATTACGTCATAACAAATCTATTTTTAGAATTTCTCAATTTTTTCTTCATTTTCCGAAAGGGCATCAAAATAATTTCCAAAATTGTCGAAAACCATTGTCTATGTTAGGTATTGGCTGAAATATGACCATCTGAATAAATATATTTCCTATAGGAACCCAGTGTTATTTTGCTCTGGCTCCTAACCATTACGAGTTGGTCATTAGTAGTTATCAGATTTGTATATTTCTCTTTCTTTATTCCTTTTGAATGATTACATTTCTCGTAATTCATGCATGTACAGCGCATAGAGAAACTTTTGTTATTATGCGCTTTATATAGTATTAATATAATTATTATTATTCCTTACCTCGGATTATTCATTATTTTGTATGACTACAAAATCAACCTTTTGCGATAGATCAGTTTACCAACATTGACGAGTTTACATTACTTTTTTCTCAAAGGAAACTCAATAAACTTTGATCCCTGATCATATAGATCAAAGGATTCAATTCATGACCGTGATTTTTTTGTTCTCAATACTATGTTTATAAACAGCAAATGTTATTTTCACAGCCGTTGCGAAACACAATGACGTAGATTTACATTGATTGACTTTGATAAAGATATTTGTGGAATTCCACTCTTTTGAAAAGTCATATTATGAATCACTTCTTGAGTTGTCTAATGCACTCTCAAATTATAGTAGAATCCAGTCCAAATTAGAGGGTAAATAACTCTTTGAATTTTGGTTTGAATATATTTATATAGGTTTCTGCATCATCTTGTGAGATAGGAATTCCACTACTTTTGATCGTGAATGCACTTTATTTGCGCATGCGCAGATAGATTCTCCAAAGTGGCTTATTACGACGACCATAAAAATGTATTTTGAAAAATATCCTCCAGTTTAATATATTTTCACGGAGGCTCATAATAAAAACATGATAAATGATCTCTCTGTTGGCGTTTCATGTTGGTACACTCAAAGGTGTCTTAGTCGAGGGGTTTACACACTTGACTTAAGATGCGAAGGCCGTGGGTTCGAGCCCCGTGGCTGTACCACTGTCCTTTGGCAAGTCATCAGTTTGACATTTCCTACATTCGCATCAACCAAGGTAGTTTTAATGATATTTCATTACAGATATATTTCATTACAGAGCACTTGTTACTTTTTTTATTCTCAAGGGGTCTATAAATACAAGCCATGCCTTTTTAAATAGACCCTCCACTATGTTTAAACCACCTTGCCAATCTTAATTGATTTATTTGAATAATTGTTTAATTATTTGTAGTATCATTTGTTTTAATATTGTGTTATTGAACGCTTGTATATTATATATATATATTGCATATTCATTTTATTATATTATGTGGTAAAAATATTTTAAAAACTTGAAACCTTGAACCTTGTATTATTACATGGATACCTGGCCGGTAGGAAGTGTTTCTTAAATTATGTGAGCATACAGCAAAATCGGTAGCCTAGCTGGAGCCGGGTAAGTTTTTTATATTATGTTGAACGTTTTTTTTTTTTTTTTTTTTTTTTTTTTGTAATACTCCAAGGCTCGTACAGAAATGACGCGGCATAATTACGGCTGTGTTTTTTTTAGTGATGACGTTACGTATACAATACACGGACCATAGTTAATACGAGTAAGTCCTTTGTTGCGCGTAGTTACCATTGATTTTCATTTTACATGTACAAAAACCCGGGCGGCTCTTTTTGTGGCGGTTTACCACGCCCACTCCTGAACACGCCTTTAATTTGATCATCGTAGGTATTGGTATCGCCACCACTGTCGTTGCTTGGTGGCGTACCATCTACTATAACCACCATCCTGGCCTGGACCCTGTACTACCTCTACAGTTCGTGCCTTGGCGGTGAGCTCCCCTGGGCGAGATGTGATCATGAATGGAACAGCTTCATGCCGTGTTGGCTCCGTAAGTCTAGACTCTGTACATCCCTCCCCTCCCCCTATCCCTCTCCATCCCATTATTTAAAGCTTCCTCAGTGGTGGATCGGGGAGAGTCGGGCACACAGTCACCCCCCCCCCCTCCCCTGGTAACAAATATGGCAGACTTATACGACAACGACACGTATCTAGGGAACAAACAAAAATGTAATCAAATTAATGCAGAAATCTTTCTTAAGAGCCTCCTTACAAATTATTCTTTTCACAGGCTACGAATTGTATTTCATAGACAGAATGCAACTTGCTAACATAATGGCCCGAATTCACAAAGGAGGTTTGTCGACAAACCGAGGTTTATGTACGTCATATGACGCGTTTTTGACGCGTTTATCACAAACCTGGTTTGTAAAAACGCGTCGAAACGCGTCATATGACGCACAAAAACCAAGGTTTGTCGACAAACCTCCTTTGTGAATTCGGCCAATGTGTTGTTAGGTATGACAAGTAATAGTGTAATTCCGCATTTCACTATTGAAATACAATTATTCGTAGTTAAGAGCGGGTGAATGAAACAATTTGTAATAATAATAATAATAATAGATCACATTTATAACGCGCCTAATACATTGTAACGAGGTACTTAGAAAAGATTTTGCATTAAATTTGATTCCATAACGTAAATTGTCTATTCCAATAC